ACGTAGAATTAAGGCAGTTCTGAAGGCGAAAGGGGGTCAAACACCGTATTAGTATGGTGTTCCTAATAATCCTTTAGGTGAGTGTATACAGGACTTCAGACCACTTGCTTTCACTTTGCATATGTTGACGTTCGAGAGGTTGGCATATAAACAGATTGGACCCCTGGTCACAAACCACCTGGATTCCTTGCCAAGGCCTGTATCTGGTTGGTGAACAGGAGGTCAGGAATGAGGGCTTCCTGAATGCATAACACGATCAGCAAGATTGGCAGTAGCATGCATCTGGGGTGGTCTCAGCACAGCAGTTATCAGGACAACATCCATCAGGTGCTAAAAGGTGGCTTCATTTCAGCCCAAAGGAAGGTGAGTGTTAAGTCTGCTCATTTACAATTAGGCTAAATTTATTTTAGCAGGCTAAGTTTCAGGTGCACTATAAAATACAGTGTAGCCATAAATTATTTGTACACTGAAAAAAATGTCAAAATGGAAATGAAGTTATATGGAAGGACAAGCTTTAAAAATTGTCAAAAATGTTACAGTTATGTGTGTTATGTAAAGAAACAGGAAACTTTAATTCAAAACATATTCATGAATTGTTTTCAAATGATGCAATTTATTGCTTTCCAATAATTATTTGTACACCGGGCCATTCATAGAGTCGAAGTGACAATGGGAGGAGTTCCCAGTCATAATAGAAATCATTTAACACAATAAAAATACCCAATGCATTGAGAAAATGAGTCATAAAAATTCACGATCAATATCCTCAATTTCATTTCCATTTTTGACTATTTTTTCACAGTGTAAAAATGAACAAAATTGGCTCCTGTTTCTAGTAGCACATTAAAGTTCAGAAAAGTAGAAAAAATAAGCATTTGCACCAAAGTAAAACATAAAACATTTAATATCCAACCAAGCACATAAAATGTTATTATGGAATGGAATAAAGAGTTAAGATATACACATTAATCATCATATATATGATTGACTTAAAACATTATCAATACAGTTATAATGGACAAACTAAGTAAATACGCTCAAAAATATATATTCGGCACAAATAAAACTGTCTTCAGTAACAACTGATTAATTACACATCTCATTAATACAGTCTACTCTGCCTTGAAAAAATATGAATGAAAAATAGCTTTTCATGTCAAAAAATTGACTGACTGGCATCCAGATCACCTACAGGACCGCCTGGTCATCCATGGGCCTGAAGACAAATACATGCTTCAGTGATACCAGCATGTGCAGTTTACTGTGATTTAACACAGTGAGGATGAGGGAGAGTGAGATATTTACCTATGTCTGCTTCAGGACCAGAGTACTATAGACCATCAAACCAGCAGGGTCCTCTGACGAAAGCTCCTAATCATGGTTAGGTAGAGACAATTCCTATAAGTCATCACTTTTACTGACATAATGGGCACATCTAATATAGTTCCCTTTATAAATCTATCACATTTTGCCCACAACTGGCATATAATGTTCATCTCTGATCTTGAAGAGCAACTTCCCAATTTATCTGCAGGACAGCAGGATATAGAGACAGCTCACCGTGGAGGTTGTGAGTTGTAGACATGTATCTTGTCATCGCTGTATTTTATTTGGCCATAAACTATAGTCATTAACTGGGTGATAATGCTGATAATCTATTATCCTACCTCTTGGTTCTGTAGAGTTATTGTGCTGTATATCATAGCATTCTTAGGGTCTACAGAGGGCTGGAGAAGAAACACACTGTAAATGGATACTTTAATCATGTACCATTACTGTTACACTGAATAGTTACAGAGAGGACACATACTGTAAATGGATACTGTAATCAGGTACCATTGCTGTTACACTGTATAATTACAGAGAGGACGCACACTGTAAATGGATACTGTAATCAGGTACCATTACTGTTACACCGGATAATTACAGTGAGGTCATACACTGTAAATGGAAACTGTAATCATGTACCATTACTGTTACACTGGATAATTACAGGGAGGTAATACACTGTAAATGGATACTGTAATAATGTACCATTACTGTTACACTGGATAATTACAGGGAGGTCATACACTGTAAATGGATACTGCTACCATGATCAATCACTGTTACACTGGATAATTGCAGAGAGGACACACACTGTAAATGGATACTGTAATCATGTACCATTACTGTTACACTGGATAATTACAGAGATGACACACACTGTAAACACACAATGTAATTATGCAAATTGGTATCATGTAATGTTACTGTTACTCTTCGTATTTACAAAGGGACTTACTATGTTGGCAAGTCTGTTCTGTGTATCATCATTACTGGCCGGTCTTTTTCCTAAAATGAGAAATGGTGGTAAGAACTGCAGAGCTGAGGTCACTCTCATAAGGCACATCAACACACCATCAGTCAATGAGTGCAGGAATAGCAGGAGGTTCATACTGGTGTCTTTTTTAAAATGCCTTCTGCAGCCTGTCTAATGACTACAGATATGGCGAGTACTGTAGTTGACCTGCTCAGATGCAACCCCCTTTTCCTCTCACCTTGTCTGTTCAGCATGGCGACCATAACAATGGCCAGCAGGATCACCAGAAGCAGCAGCAGTCCCAGAGTTAGCAGGAGAACCAGCTGAGAGGATGAGCTGGAGAACATTGTGAGGCACAACACAAAGGGGTTCCATAACATTCCTACACTACCTATGAGGCAAGGAGCTCAGCAGATACACCCCCAAATCAGAAGAAGTTGGGACGGTATGGAAAAACACAAATAATGGGACAAAATAACACCTGTAATGTTGCATTGCTTGGTATCCTCAGTGCCAAAACGTCTTGTTAGTGTAGCGAGAAGGAATATCAACATTACAAAGTGGCGAAAGCTTTACCATCCCAGCTATTTTGAAATGTGTTGCAGGCCTTAAATGCAGGAATGGATGTGTATTAACGAATGAAATGAAGCTGACCAGACAAAACATGAAATATCTTGGGTTCATACTGTACTATCTGCAATGAAACAAAAGTCAAAGTGAATTTCAGAATCACTGCATTTTTTTTTTATTTGTATTTCCCATACCATCAATTTTTTTTTTCTTATTTGGACTTCTACAGAAAAACAATCCCAGCACCTTCACTGGATCCAGTGAAGCCCGGTGTCATTGTTATAATACATTTCAATAAAGAGCAATGTCTCTGCAGCTTGCCTTTCTGTACTGTCAGTGCTGGAGACTTCCTTAGGTGAGACGCCACTGGACGCAGTGGGAGGCCCAGCTGGAAGTTCCTTGCCAGTTATATTTTTGACATTTCCTGCAGCAAATGCTACAATTTAATGAACAGGTTAGGAAAATCACTGTCTAACTATATATGGATATAAAATGAAAATCGAAAATCAATAATGAATTATAATAATGCAGATTTATATAAATTACAATACCGCATTTTTCGGTTCACCATCTAACTGCTTTTCCAACAATGGGCAGCAGGGGGGGCTGTAGCCTACTACTACTATTATGGTCAAAACAGGATATAAAGATCTGTTCTAAAGTGTGGGTGTTATGAAGTGTTTCACATACCGCTGCTGATCATCAGAGGCAGAAATACACCGGGATCTACTGCAAATTCAATCCAAATGGCACACCAGTAAGTGTCAGCATCCTCATCCTGCAGGTCCCTCATGGTCACATTAAAGACCAGGTGGGCGGGGTCATCACTGATCGACACTTTCCCTGCTGGCTGATTGGAGTCAGAACGTGCCAGTATGGAGCAGGAATACCAGTTAGACCCTCTACACCAGTACTTCACATGGAGTTTATGCATCTGATCATAGTAACATGGGATGGTGACAGATCCTCCTCTCTCTGCAGATACCCAGCTCTCAGTCCACACACTCTGAGCATCTATTGGGACAAAATAAGAATGATGGAGCGTTAAAAACATATATTAATATCACATATTGTACGTGTGAATGACACATTTAAACAGACATAGAGGTGTACAATGTGCAAAGTGTACAAAGAAAGTCATGCTAATAATCAGTAAATTTAATAAGCTCCATCATCCACAATGGGGTTAGGGAGAGTCTGCAGCCTGTCCCAGGGATGGCGGGGCTCAACACAGCAGAACAGGCCGTGTGGGAAGCCAGCTCATCACAAGGCATAGCCACAGCTTAGGGCAGGGCTGTCAAACTCAGTCGCACAGGGGGCCAAAACTCAAAGCACACTTTAGGTCGCGGGCCGAATAGGATGAGCATTTATTGAACAGACTAAACCCAAACGTTTTTTTTTAACATAAATATGAATCAAAACAGACAGGATACAATATTATTCCAAAATAAATAAATTTAAACTTAAAATAACTTAAAATATTTTGCTCCATAAAAATATCTCCAGTCAAAATTATACATATTCAAAATATGAATATGCTGCAAAAAACCCCGAAAATATAAATAAAAATTGTGCTTTTAAGTGAAAGTTAAAATAATAACAAATCAAAACATTCCATTTTCTTTGCTCTTATGCCATTCTGTCAGAGCTGGATGCTTGGCATCTTTTCTTGGCAACAAGTTCGTTTTTGTTTGGGGTTCTGTGTCGTGGAGATTCTCTCTCAGCCACATTAGCTCCACAAACAAGACACACAGGTTTACCGGCAATGTCAGTAAACATATACTCAGCCTCCCACCAGTTTTGAAAGGCTCTGTTTTCAGAATCAACTTTTCTCTTGGCCATTGTTAGGGGCTAGCTTTGACTTGAAATTAGGGTTGTATATATCAACAGACGCTTGATTGATCTGACGTAGTTTGTGTGTTATCGGTGCTTCATATTGTTTGCTGGGCCGGATGTGGCCCGTGGGCCTTGAGTTTGACACATGTAGCTTAGGGGAACCACAGTGTAATAATCACAAAAATGTGCACACGCACACACACCCACGCATGCACATGCACCCACACACATGCATACACGCATTCACGTACATACGCATGCACCGACACGCACACACACGTCGGGTATACCTATCCTTATGGGGCCCGCTCATTCACTTCTATGGGAAAAATGCTAACGCTAACTATGACAACCTTAACCCCCACCCAGCCCTAACCATAACCATAAGTAACCAAGCAAAATACAAGAGTTTTTGCATTTTTAGTTTTTTCATAGCAGTCACCAATTTTTATAAAATATAGTTTTTATAAAAAAAAAAAATGGATATTTATCACGTTATGGGGACATTGTGTCCCCATAAGGATAGGTACAGTATACCTGTTTGCATGCACATACACACATATGCAGGCACACACGAGCACACACACACGTGGGATTTTAGCCCACTGTGCTACCAATAGAGAACATAAAGTAAAATAAAAACACAATTATATTGAGAACCGAAATAAATTCCAATTTACATTTCACACATAAATTTATTTGCATTTTTGCAGTCAGCAGTGCTTGTAAGTATAACTTTATTGTCGTTATGTTCTAATATACTGCAAGCTGGACAGAAATACTGCATACCAGGGGCGTTTCTATAGCTATTGAAAAAAATCAGGGGTTAAGTCATGTTTACCCAATGCTTGAGGTTTTTATTGGAGGCAGACTTGTATCGGGGCTCTGGTAGGACGATGCTGTGTGTCAATATTAGTAAGTTCAGTGGGTACAGTACCCGGAAAGCCCCAGTACGAACAGGGTTAGAATTACTGCAAATGACATGTATAAACACTACACTCACCTAAAGGATTATTAGGAACACCTGTTCAATTTCTCATTAATGCAATTATCTAATCAACCAATCACATGGCAGTTGCTTCAATGCATTTAGGGGTGTGGTCCTGGTCAAGACAATCTCCTGAACTCCAAACTGAATGTCAGAATGGGAAAGAAAGGTGATTTAAGCAATTTTGAGCGTGGCATGGTTGTTGGTGCCAGATGGGCCGGTCTGAGTATTTCACAATCTGCTCAGTTACTGGGATTTTCACGCACAACCATTTCTAGGGTTTACAAAGAATGGTGTGCAAAGGGAAAAACATCCAGTATGCGGCAGTCCTGTGGGCGAAAATGCCTTGTTGATGCTAGAGGTCAGAGGAGAATGGGTCGACTGATTCAAGCTGATAGAAGAGCAACTTTGACTGAAATAACCACTCGTTACAACCGAGGTATGCAGCAAAGCATTGTGAAGCCACAACACGCACTACCTTGAGGCGGATGGGCTACAACAGCAGAAGACCCCACCGGGTACCACTCATCTCCACTACAAATAGGAAAAAGAGGCTACAATTTGCATGAGCTCACCAAAATTGGACAGTTGAAGACTGGAAAAATGTTGCCTGGTCTGATGAGTCTCGATTTCTGTTGAGACATTCAAATGGTAGAGTCAGAATTTGGTGTAAACAGAATGAGAACATGGATCCATCATGCCTTGTTACCACTGTGCAGGCTGGTGGTGGTGGTGTAATGGTGTGGGGGATGTTTTCTTGGCACACTTTAGGCCCCTTAGTGCCAATTGGGCATCATTTAAATGCCACGGCCTACCTGAGCATTGTTTCTGACCATGTCCATCCCTTTATGACCACCATGTACCCATCCTCTGATGGCTACTTCCAGCAGGATAATGCACCATGTCACAAAGCTCGAATCATTTCAAATTGGTTTCTTGAACATGACAATAAGTTCACTGTACTAAAATGGCCCCCACAGTCACCAGATCTCAACCCAATAGAGCAGCTTTGGGATGTGGTGGAACGTGAGCTTCGTGCCCTGGATGTGCATCCCACAAATCTCCATCAACTGCAAGATGCTATCCTATCAATATGGGCCAACATTTCTAAAGAATGCTTTCAGCACCTTGTTGAATCAATGCCACGTAGAATTAAGGCAGTTCTGAAGGCGAAAGGGGGTCAAACACCGTATTAGTATGGTGTTCCTAATAATCCTTTAGGTGAGTGTACATACATACAAAGATACCTATTCTTATTTATAATTACCTTTCTGATCTCATAGCATGACTCTGAACCCAGGAAGACTGTAGCATGTGAAGAATAAAGCATGTGTGTGTGTGTGTGGCTATTGTGTTAAACCACAAGTGGTTACCATCGCTTCAGCCATCTTACCTTTGGGGCGTATACAGGGGCGGGGTCACAGGGGCACTGGTCCCAAGCTGAAATGTGATTGGCCCCCGACCCTGTCACTCACCAATTCAAAGCATATCATTGGCTAATGATAAGGTTGGCTTTTCCATATGAATTGCAGCCCCTCTTAAACCCCCGTCCAATAAAATCCTACCGTCGCCCCTGTCTTACTTGTTACTGCTAAGCGAAGGTTTTCAGAGTATTCCGTAGTGCCGTTAATCTCCACAGCACACCAGTAATTCCCGGCGTCGTACCACTGAAGGTTGCTCATGGTTATGTAGAAAGCCAGCTTGTCGGGGTTGTTGGCGATGCGTTCACGGCCGATCCTCCGTTCAGTCTCATTGCGATCCAGCATGGTACAGGATTGCAGACCTTTAGTTCTGCACCAGTACTTTGCATGATCCTTCTGCTTGTGTTCATAGAAACATGGGATGGTGATTGATCCTCCATATTGGCGGGTTAAATACTGAAACGTTTTCACGCTGCTGTTACCTGCACAGAACGTGATGCATGTTTTTTTGTGATTCACACAATACTCACTATATCAAAGTATAGACAATTAAATGCTATACATCATCATCAAATACACTTTCCACTTTAAATAGCTAAACATCCACCATTTCACTGTAAGGAGCTCCAAGTGTATGTAACTATAAAGAATTATTAGTAGTATTAGTATCCATCTATCCATCCATCCATCCTTCCCTCCTTCCATCCATTGCTTATCCAGTATAGGGTCGCAGTGACCCAGGATCCCATCCCAAACCATAATGCCTAGACGAGAAGCCAGTCCATCGCAGGACACAGTATTTATATACCATGTAAAACTAAGGCTTTGTACAAAATGTTAAACAAATTTCATTAAATGTAATGAAATGTCAGATCTCACATCTGCTAGGGTTTTGTGTTCTGCTCTTCCTCTCGTTAGTCCATTACGGGTCTCAGGCTTCGACCTGCTCCTGCGTTTTATCAGTCACGGACCTGGCCCTCTTAAAACCCGTCTTTAAAGCCCTTACCTCCTCCAACACTGCAATCTTACCTGGAAGGCCACTGAGGATGATGAGGATGAGGAGGGGGAGGAAGAGGGTAGCCATGCCTTATGTTATGTGTTAGAAACCAGAATGACTCTGAGGACTGTCTGAGATACTGATACTTTGGGGGCATTGCTGACCACGCCCCCCCCCCCGCCCACTTCCTCGTCTATTTTCACTCAGTGGTGCTTTATGCAGAAACGAGAGTCGAGCTAGACGCCCGGACAGATGCAGAACCCCAAAGCTCTGACCCTGGACGGATATTTATTTAAAAAAGGCCACAAAAAGCAAGAAAGGGAACTGAGAGAGGGTCAGAGGGCCTGTGGGCTGCTCCGCTACCTAAAGGCATATCAAAGGTTGCACACGCTGTCAAGTTCTAGAACAAAGCCTGAAAGATCATGTGACATCCACAGGATGTGCCGGAAAAGAAGCACATGACCTCTGTGCTGAGCATCATTCTCATTTCACTTTCAGTGTCTGTCTTCCTGGTTTTCAATGCAGAATACCTACCAATGAAGTGTGAATATGACAAATATCATGTTCCGAAATGATCACGCGTCCTTAAAAAGCAAGACAAATAGTTTAATGACAAACACACAAACACATTTTGATATTACAGTAATGAAAAAAAATACATAGCTGTGTCCACATTCAGTGTTTTTTTTTTTGTTGTTGTTTTTTTAAACCACAATGCTTTTCGGACAGAAATGGAAACAGAGGTTCTCTTAAGAGCAGGTCAAGCACGAAATGTTTCATATTCATTATAACAAAACTTCACAAGTAGCTTTGTCAGTGAATGCCATAACAATAATAATAATAATAATAATAATAAACTTCAGAATACTAATCCTCGTACTGCCACAGTGCTCTCAGTGCTGTCCTCTGCTTTTCTGCATACAAACACAGTAAAGCTTGTACTTTCTGCGCCACTCTAAACCAGTGACTTTTCAGTGAAACATTTAGCAAATTTGGCACTGCATTGCAGATATCTGTGCATCGCTTAACCAGGAAAAATCCCACACTCCATGTGTGAGCACAAGGGGGAGACATTTCTTCATTAGTGGGGGTGAATATACACAAAGGTGGGTGCTGGGGAAATGTTGGTACACCAACCGCGGAACCATTTCACCATGCAGACTCCACAACAGGACGCTCTCCTCCCAGTAGAGAAAGCAAGAGGACAGGAGCATGGGCAGAAGCAAGCACAGTGAGAAATGATGCTTTAACGTGCCCATACTGTCAGCACCCATAATGCTTTGCTCTGTGACTCTGTACTCAGTGTAAACAAGGGGCCGTGAAGCTGGACGCTCATGCCCAGTCTCATCGGCTTTGTCAGCACATAACATGATGTAGCTACAGTTTGATGTAGCTACACTCTTAGCGACAGAATATTCACGCGGTTTTTCACCGCGGATTACTGGTGTGGATACTTCTGACGGCAACCGTCAGCCTCTTTTGTTGTGGTTTGACAAGTACAGTTTCTGTTTCAGAGCTTCGTGGATGATCTGAAGAATAGTGTCTTTCTCACTAGTCTCTGTCACAGCTATGATTCTGACCATCAGATTGGCCGGGGCTCTTCTCTAGTGATGGCATATCCAGCTAAATTATTATTATTAATATTATCGTCCTTTCGATGGCCTCTCTGGTTCTCTTTCATGCCAGTTTCACAGGGATGGTTCCTGTTCATAATTACTCATTTTCTACAGCCTACTTCTTGCTTTGATGCATCCATGTTCCTGCTGTGGTCTCTGCCACGACCTCACGTGATGGATTTCTTGGTATATGGCCTCGCCGTCCTTGCTCACCCAGCTTCCCCCCCCCCCCCCCGCAGAACTCTCATCACGCATCAGCGCTGAGTTCCGGCTGTCCACGACCTCAGCACGCACTTGGGGAATGGCCTCCATCTTCTTCAGCAGTGGATCTCGTAGGCGATCTGCTTGTCAAACAGCAGGCTCTGGCTCAAGAAGAGCTCCTCGGTCTCCACGTCCATAGTCGGCACCGACTCCTCCCCCTCGCCTGCCATCCGGCTCATTGGCCGTGGAGCACGGTGTTGCGGGGACTCGGCAGGCGGCAGCACCCCCTGCTGGGGAGGAGGAAGAACGGGCCGGTCGCGGTTCAGCACGTACATCTCGTGGCCGCGCTCGTCGCGGTACTCCTCCAGCTGGGCGAAGGTGGTGGGCCCATCTGAGTAGTCGTTGACATAGAGGACGCTCTCCTCCTGCTGGCCCTTCTGCCGCTGCCGGTGACGGCTGTAGATCATGGCCACCAGTAGCAGGGCGGTGAGCGCCAGCAGGGCGATGCCAGCGGCAATGGCTGTCTGGGTGGCGGTGCCCAGTGCGTTGAAATCCATGCTGCCAAGGGCATAGAGAGGCTCCCTGCTGACGTCCATCAGCGCCGGGTGGGATGACTGCAGCCAGGGGCGCCAGGGCGAGGAGGGCGAGGCAGCGGACGAGCCCGAGGACGAAGATGGTGACACGTTGACGTGCAGGTGAAAGGTCACCCGGGCCACGCCCCCGGCATTCCAAGCCTCGCATTCGTAGAGCCCCGCGTGGGCTTCTGTCACATTGCTAAGGAATAGCATCCCACTGCCCATGTCCGGGCCGAATCGCTCGGACTCCCCCTGGCCATCGGCGGCCGCCGGTGCCGTGGCCTCAGGGTCCGGAGCCACTTCCTGTGTCAGCCCCTGGGGCGTGGCCCTGGCCCTGTCCTGGGTGGCCTTCCTCCAGGTGACCTGTGGCTGTGGGTAACCAGACGCCTGGCAGGACACCCGCAGGCTCTCGCCGGGCCGCAGGGAGCGCCGGCGCGGTTGCAGGCGCACGGCAGGCGGGATGCACACCAAGCTGTTCCGGGGCACCTCCACCAGGCTGAGGTGTGAGAGGCGCGGCGGCTCGGCGCACACCAGCCGCCGGTCGGCCGAGCTCAGCAGCCGCTGGCCCTCCCCGTCGATCCAGCTGCGCAGCCAGTGCAGTGCGCAGTCGCAGCGCCAAGGGTTGCCTGGGGTGACCGGACCAGGAAGGTGGGTTGAATCAGTGGGGAATTATGGGAGAAAATAGAGAAGAGATTTACAACTCAGTTTGCGGCCATAGCTGCAAGAATGGGAAAAAAACAACAAATAATAATAAGAAAAACAAATGAGCTGTCAGAAAAGATAATAGGATTGCGAGAGCAGAACGTAACCGCGATGCACAATGCACAGAAGTACTTCAAAATTTCTATCACATGCACAATTATTTGAAGTACAGTGATTGTGACACTTTCTATTTTGATTTGCATAAAGCATATAATGTATATTTATACAAAATAGCCCAGCATGCAACAACACAAACTGTTTATATGTGTGTCTGTGAATTTCTCTCCGGATGCCCCACCCTCACCTGTGACACGCAGTACCTGCAGGCTGACCAGGGGGCGCAGCGATGCCTGGCTCAGAGTGTGCAGGTTGTTGCGACTCAGGTCCAGCAGCGCCAGCGAGCCCAGGCCCGCCAGAGCCTCTTCCCCCAGCACCTCCACACTGTTCTCCTGCAGGTGGAGCTCCTGGAGCCGCTGGAAGATATGGGGTGCAGTGGGATGGACCGGTGGAGGAAGAAGTGGGCATGAAAATACACAACTGTTAGTCACCGACATCGAGGGTCTCATACTGGCATAAATATCTGATTTAGTCACCAATATACAATATTACACGTCAGATCTATGACTTATCTTTAAATTACATTCTTTTCAGTACCACAATAAGTATCGATAATACAAATAAATCATATGTAAACGATTACGAGACTTGCAGTCAATAAAATTATGTTAATTACGCCCCTCGCCTTACAACGGTTCGATACTTAACTTTACGACGCTGCGATAGCAATGCACATTCAGGAGTCAGTTTTGAATTTGTATCTGTTTCCAGGCTAGCGATACGCCGTATGACGCTTTCTACAGATAATGGGTGAAGGCAGCGTCCACATACTGTAGCTATGCTTCCAGCCTCTGTAGTGATTAGCGTTAAACATCTAATTTTTTCCACTTACAATAAGGTTCATTGCAATGCAACCCTATCGTAAGTTAAGGAGAATCCCTGTGTGTAAATATCGGATCCATTCAATATACGATAAAGTGACCAATCACAATGAAATTAGTCTGTACTACAAAAAAAAAAAAAAAAAAAGAAATTAGTCTGTACTACATAAAAATATTATCTTGTTAATTGTGCTCTCCATAAAACAACAAATACCTTTAGTTCTAATAAATTGTATGCAAACTGTTATGAGACTTGTGGTCATTAAATATTATCCCTATAAAAGTGTTCATTTTAAATATTTAATGTAATGTTTATTCCATCAGAAGAAATAATGTCATGTCAATACCTGGATTATACCATAAATAAAGCCACCGATCAGCCCCCCCCCTTCGCACCTGCAGCCCCCGGAAGGTGAAGTCCTGCAGCCGCGTGATCTGGTTGCTGGCCAGGTAGAGCACGCGCAGGTGCGCCAACCCCATGAAGACGTCGGGCGTCACCAGGTGGATGCGGTTGCCGTTGAGCGCCAGCTCCAGCAGCTGGCCCTGGCTGCGGAAGGCACCCGGCTCCAGCGCCGACAATCCATTGTGCTGCAAGTACAGGTAGCGTAGGCTGGCCAATCGCGACAGGTCCCGCCAGCGCACCTGTCCAATGGCGTTGTCCTGCAGGAAGATGGTCTGTGTGGGGCAGTGGGTCAGAAAGGGAGGCATTGATCTTCAGTCACCTGCTTCCGGTCCAAACTGGTTCAGACTTGTTCAGTTTGCTCACAAGTGCTGAATTGACTTCAAATTACAACAAAACAACTTTATGACCAAATTGCTTATCCCAAGTTAACAAGCCAAAAAAAATGCTCCGGGGGGTGCTGGTTGGACATCTGACCCTGTGCTCAGACGTAAAACTTTACTGTCGCCTCTATGACTGCGTGTCTTTTAAAAAAAGGAGACAATGACGGGATTTGTGAAATAAAAACATCCCAGTTTACCTTTTCTTGTACAGATGGCAAATAAAGAATTTGTTTTGAGGGGGCAGTGGGGGTGTTTACGACGCAAGGAGAGAAGGGGAAAGGGAGACATCATTCCCCGGTGGGGTTTGGCCTGGCTGTAGCCCTTCAGAGCTGCAGGCGAGGTTGTGGACGAGGCACTGACCTGAGTGATGGGTGGAATGTTCTGGGGGAACTCCTTCAGCCCCATGGAGCCGCACTCCACCGTCAGGCTGTAGCAGCGGCATCCGGCCGGGCAGCCCAGGGCCAGCGTCGCGTCCAGGGCGCGGAGGACCAGGACGAGGACAAGGAGCGAGAGCTGCGGGACGGACATCACGCTCACATGGGCGGGGCCTAGGAGCCAAAGAGGAGTGTGTGTCTGTTTCACTCTCCTGCTGGCAGGGAGAACACGCGGTGACCTCTCTGTCATCTGCTTATTTACTGTAGGGTCAAAGTGCATTAATTATGGAAGCATTACGGTAATCAACAAAAGCATTTCAGACTGTTATATTCATCTGTCTTCCATAACCACTTTCGCAGTACAGGGTCACATGATCACCGTAAAAAATTGTCATGCAAATTTAGAGTAAAATACTGCCAGCAGAGTTGCCAGCAGTTTACTGTTAATTTCACAGTTCATCTACTATAATCTGCTTTACAGTATGTTACTGTTATAATACCACACTGAAAAAATATTTTTGCATTCACTTATTTTGTGGTATATTAAAACTGATTTTCTCTTTCAAGATAGGTATGAATTTTAGGAAATACAGGGGAGTGGGCAGCTCTAGGATGACATCACAACTCCACTGTCTTTTCACTGCAAGTATAAGGCCACAGGCCCAAGTGTGGCTACTCAAAATGGCCTTGCATTAACAAATACATCACCCCTGGGGGGCATTTGATGGACAACCACACCTGTTCAACTTTTCAATACATAAATAGGGAACATGCAGTAAGATCAGTATTTGGCAGAGTATTCTTTATGATGGTGGGAGAAATAAACCACAGCTGCTGTTAGATTATATACCTAATTTAAATTAAACCAAAGAGATTATGTTGGTTTAATTACACATGAGAAAATGAGTGAGATTAACGTAACTATGTTCTGTTCTCAGAAAACACAGCCAGTGCATCAATATAAAAAGAACATTTCATTTTCAGAATACTCCTTCTAGTTGAGTGGAACCAGTGTCCATTAGTTCATTTAATGAATTATGTATGAAAACAAATATATTTACATTGTATCAACATAATTAATTTAAGTAAGACCAACAAGTCAGTTGAATCCTTTTATCCAATGGGGCAGCACTTAGTTGTGGGCAGCATGTTGCTCAGCAAATTAAGTGTCTGGGCCTGAGATCAGAAGGTCACTGCCCAGCCCTGGCAGAACAGCCACATGTCAATGGGCCCTTGAGCAAAACCTTTAACTCCTAACTGGACAGAAAACTTTATTAGGCCACGCTGACAAAGACACTTACGTCACACCTGGTACCACTTTGCATCAGATGCTGAAGAGGGCCCTTTAAATACACTGGGTTTATTTTAGATATAAAAATGATAAAAAATTAACCCCAAAAAAGTGAGTGGAAACATGTTGCCTTATTTAATTTGAGTAAATCTTATAGAATGGTACTGTGAAAGTAAGTCGACTTTAGCCTAATTTATTTAAAATATCTCCTAAAATTAGGTATACTTTATTTATTTTTTATTTTTTTAAAAGTTTAAATTCAACCAAAAAAGTGAGTGCAAACTGTCACCTCATTTTGTCTGAGTAAATTCTGCAGGTTATTTTTTTCAGTTCATTTACTGAATTACAGTATACTGCAGTATTTTATGGGAAATGACAAGATTCTCATAAATATTGCCCAGAATGCATTTTTTCACCAGCATTGCACTATTTTACTGATAACCCATATGTTACTGTAATAATTTCACTGTTTTTATAGCATTTTGTTACAATGTAAATATGGTCCAGGACCAGGTAGCTCAGGGCAGATGTCAGAGGACAGTCCATCACATGGCACATACACTCTCTATCTCTCTCTCTCACACACACACACACACAATTCAGATGCCAACTCGACCCTGTTGCATGTTCTTCATTGGAATAGAAATATGGTGAAAACATGCAAATTCCACACACCAGGGGTGACTGGGGCCACCAGATGCTTAATATTACACATCCTACACAGCAGAAAAGACCGCTTCTAACTGAAAATGGATTTACGCCTTTCATTAACTCTGGCGCCCCCTTTAATACTCCAAGACTTCATCAAGACCATTTCATTTTCATGTGACTAATGCCACAAATGATCACCACGGTTGAAAGTGCACATTATGGTCTATTTCCTAATCCAACACGCAGATTAACCACGTAAATAGCCAAATAATTAACCACACATAAATCATCGACACCGGCTCATTCGCAACTCCTTTTTCCTCATCATGGAAACGCGACGGGACGGAATATGCCCGTAGTATTTTAAATAAAATAAATAAAGGTGAATATAAACAAGCCTTTTGCGAACGCATTATATCAAAATATACATACAGTCCTACATGTAAGTACACATATATAAAGAGAACATAATAATTACAGTGCGGTTATATAACGCTCACATACAAAGAATGCAACTGATGGAAGCACGTTCTTCATTCATGATGCTCATTTCATTTCATTGTTAAATTACAAAGCGAAAAGCATTAAATAAGCCATAAAAGCAGCACTTACGTATAGACCATGTGAACTCGGTGTATTATTATTATTATTATTATTATTATTATTATTATTATTATTGCCACATCAGCAAAGGGCTACTCTTTACCTCCAGCGATGGGTAAAGCAGATGCCCGCTGCTCACTCCCTTGTGGCGTCGATTACCATTGAAATCCACGCATCTGGTCGCACGCTGATTTCCATGCCGAATGCGTCCCCATCTATTAACACCAACTACCCTTGTCATTTAGGACGTGAAAGCGGTATCCCCGAAACATGTCAGCCTGCGAGGGAAACATCACGTCTCCATCCCGTCCAGTCCCAGCAAACGCCGCCGCCTGCCGATCATAAACGATAAATGATGGGGTTATGAACATAGGCGAGAAAAGCGCCGTTGTTGCAGTCTGCGGAGGCGAAGGGGGGCTTTGTTTAAATCCATATTTTTCCTTTTTTTCCCCCTGCTTACAGTGGATATAGACGCAGTCTCATGTTGGCTCTGCAGTAGCTTATAACCACTGACCTCCTGCCCCGCCTTTTTTCTCAGAAACCTCTCGGCATGTTGCTGAAATAAAGCGGTTCACGTTTTATATATACTTAAATGGCTAAATAACATAAACATGAGTCGCTAGTTTTCTATTCTTTTGTACGTCTTTTTCGATTGCTGAGAACTGGGAATGGGGGGAGTTTGCAGCTTGTTTTCGGTGGCTGCTGTATAGTCTCACGGGGTTTTGCATTGGTGACTGTAAATTCTCTGATGTGTATTAGTGCAGACTCTGTGAGAGACTCGTGTCGCCAGCCCTGAGCTTCCTGAGAGAGACTCTCTATTTTTCTCTTTTTCTTTATTATGTTTTACCTTTTTGTCCAGAGAAAGTCTCCACGTGCAGCACATGTATGAATGATTTGATGATCTTACATCGTGCCTTCTTGAGCTTAAAGATGTCACTGCCAATGAAACACATGTGTTATTTATATTAGATGATAAATGGATTTGTCTGTAGTGGCACATAGTGCGACACTGTCACATGAATCCCCAGCAGATCGCATGCTCTCCCTGTGTTGTGTGGAATACCCTCAGCTCCTTGCACTCCAAAGGCTGGTGCCTTTAAATTGCCTGCAGTGTGTGTGTGTGTGCGCGTGTGTGTGTGTGTGTGTGTGTGTAGATTAGGTTTATACACTCAGTGACAAAAAAAAGTTACGTGCCCAGATGGAGTGGTGGAAATTAAATGAATCTGCATGCGGTGAAAGGTCATGTGTGACTATATCACTATGATTATAATATCACATCAAATAGACGACAGAGTAGACAGTATGGACACACTGCTGGTCCCATGTCAGTAGGGTGTGCCCCCTGGGCCTGGATACATGCGGCGATATGGTGTGGAAGGGAGTCATACAGCTGTTGGATCCTCTCTAGACTCAAATCTTAAAATTTGGAAAGTGTAAATTAAGGTTTCGCCGTTTTCTCAATTTCGCTTCCTCTGCCGGCACTTGCAGGATGGCCCCCCCCTCTGAGTCTGGTTCCTCCCAAGGTTTCTTCCTTCTGGGCAGTTTTTCCTTGCCACTGTTGCCTCTGGCATGTTCACTGGGGGCTTTGGATGGAGATAATGTAAAGTGGTTTGAGACAATGTAATATTGCAAAAATGCATTACTTACTAAAATTGAATTCAATTTCATTGAATTTGCATGTATGTAAGACATCTATTGCTTCGTAAACACTTGTAAAAAGCATTTGATGCAGCTAATTTTAGGTTTATAATGCAATAGTATATGGCTTTAATCTTGATCTTGAGCGTTGTGCGTTACTTTCCTAAAAGTACAAAGATCACTCTTGAGCATTGTGATTAATCTTCAAGCCCTTAGATATTCCAGCAAATTCTTTTAAAATGCACGGTTATTAACCACCCCAACTCGTTCTTAAATATCTACTCAGACAACCTTAGAGATGTAAAAATCCAAAGCCAAAAACAGTATCCTGTACAGCTGAGAACTATCAGTCAGGATGCAACTAACTTGCCTCATGGAAAAGAACACAGCACTCGCATGAAAAACACATCATGCTGCAATCATCAAATCGAGGCACGTGCACCAGCGCTGAATAGCTCGCAAGATGCTTTGCCGCGATTATTGACTTTTACCGAAGGCCCCTCTCTCTCAATATCACACCCCTCCATGTAATCTGGTGCATCTGCTACAAGAAACCACAGGATATGCCTGTGGGACCTGTGGGACAGCTGAGATGGCCAGATATTATTTCATCACCTACTGTATATGAAACAGGAGATTGTGCAATCCACCCTCACAACCAACATATACGAATGGAGACACAGATGAAGTCCAGTCATGCAATAAAGTCCAGATCATTAAAGTGTGGTATGCAGCTATGTGGTATGAACAGTGGTACGTGAATGGGAAGAGCCGAGCTTGGATTCCGGACATTGTTCCACAAGAGTGTTATCCGGGTAGTTTGGAAAACAGAACTTTGTCGGTGACAGACTGCGATTAGTCAAAGAAGTGTGTGTGTGTGTGCTCCCGCGTGAATTACACTCGCAGCCCAACGACAGCATTAGAACGAGAATCGCCAGCCATTTTGAGGTGGCCACTGCCTGCCTGTCATCTTTAACGACAAACAGGTAGGCAAAATTTTCACAGATCAGCAACACTGACCTCCTGTCAATGCATCAGAGTCACGTTGGTTAGCACAAGCTTTTAGCAAGCTAGATAAGGTGCAGCAATGAATGTATTGGTATTAATTGTTCCGCAAAACTTCCAACATAAAACGGTTTACGCAAGATGTCTTGATAAAATAAGTGGTGTCTTCGTACAATGAATAGATTCACTATTACATTTGAAGTGTTTTATTTAATAGTAAAGCTAATAAATTAATGTGTTTATTGACAGCAATATGCCACAATTCAGTGCTGTTAGATATTAATGTATCTTCAAGGATACGTTGAAATTAATCCCTTACCACATTGCCTCTGTTTTATTTTTAAATACTGAAACTGTTCGAGTTTGAAATCTTATTCTGGGGTTGTTTTTGTACTGGAGACCCATTTAAGATTGTCCTAGTGAAAGCAAAAAGGCATTTCTTTGAAGAGTGAAAAATGTATACTGCACTTGAGATAATTGTTTAAGATAGTCTGAAGATGATAATGATTGTTGATGTGTAAAGGTCAACTGGTCACACTTTACTTGAGGGGACATGAAAAATGTAGCAGTACACGCTTACTTAATGCATTAATTAACCGGTAACTAAGTGTTAATTATGTACTGATCCTATGCTTGTTCATCATTAATCAATTATGACAGTTCAAGTATTGCATTCAGGCACTATATTAGTTAACAATTAACTAATTAATAATCGTAAAATTACTTATTAACTCATTTACTACTCAAGAATAAATCATGAACTGATGCAGGTTTTCCCATGAAATACATGAACTGTCATGATTGATTAATGATGAATGAGCATGCAATGTGCTACTTTATTCATGTCCCCTTTAGTAAAGTGTTACTGCTCAACTATTTCTCTATAATCTTTTTTAATTAAAATACTTTTCAATCTTTCTATATTGGAGTAGATGGAGGAATGGCAATTTAAAATTGTTATTACTGATACATTGAAGATTTTCCTTACAGAATTCTCTCAGCAAAGTGTCTCACACCAGTCCGGTGTAAATGTTTCATATCCTTTAATATCTCACATATTTTCATAAATAAAAGTATAAAAATAAAAGAAATACCAGTCAAGTTTCTTGGCATGTGGATGGATACTGTTGTTATATTGTGTACCCGCATTAACATCATTAATTTACAGTACATGCTATAAAAAGGCTCACATGATGCACTTTCACGTTTCAGGTAGAGAGAATCAAAATGGCCGCCGTTTGGGGAGTTCTGTCTGCCATCATCTTTTTGTCTTGTCTTCACATGAATGAAACCTCAGAAAAAGGTAGCTTCCCAACTTTGCCATGGCCAGACACACATAGCATGCTGACAATGCTCCCTACAGTGGTACATACTGTAGCTTTAATGCATGGCTGAGCTGAGCTGGGGACCTCTGAATGTGATGCTGTCGTTTGTGCCTGTGGTCTTAGTTTAGCTTAGTTTAGCATTCTGGGTCATCGTGCCCTGTCCTCTTTTGCATTAAATTTGCTTTCAAAGGACAGTTTAACTGTTGCAACTCTGCAACTGATTGGCTCAACTTCCTAACACTTGTCTTATCTCAGACATAAGTTACCAGAGTTGCGAAACACTATCGCTACACATCAGGAAGGGGTGATTCAAACATAATATTGTAGTTACACACACACACACACACACACACACACACACACAAAACATAAAATTAAAGTTAATGACTCGAAATGTATTGTGTCTTCATTTCTTATCAAAATGAAACCCTCAGAATCATTAAATCTAAGCTGGGCCAGTTTTCAATTTTTACCTGTCGAGACCTAATATGATAACTTTAAGCTCCTGAGACCCAAGGAAAAAAGTGTCCTTCAATTTTAGGTTATTTGTCTTTGGAGGAAATAAGACATCTTACAATTTAGATTTTTTCAAATTTATTTTTATTTTTAATTTCACAGCATGCCCTCTTTAGTGTAGAACAGGAATAAATATGTTTCCTTACATCAGTGAAAAGATAGATGCAAAAACAAAATGTCCACTACAATGGACATAAATGAATGAGTGGGTTCTCAGGAGGATATTTGACTGTGACTAAACAAATACTTCCTTCTAACTGGCTGATTCAAGGTACTTGATGGTGAAACAGCTTTACTGCTATATAAGTACCACTGAATCTAGAAAAATACCTTTTACCTATTGTCACACATCCATATGCTTGTATCAGTAATGTCACAGCTGTGTAAATATGTGATGAAGAGTTTTCATGTAGGACTTCAATTGTAATCAATCTTTAGAGGTGTATTTTGTCTCTTGGGTACTTTAATGTTAACAATGTAACTTGCAGGACCCCATGCAGTCTGCCCACAGGGACTAATGGCGGACATAGTCTTCGTGGTGGATGGATCGAGTTCTGTTGGGTGGCTAGAATTCGAAGCCATCAAGGACTCTCTTTATACCTTAGTGGACAAGTTATACGTGGGTCCTGATCAGGTCCAGCTTGGACTGGTACTGTATAGTGACCATTTTCAGGCAGAATTTAGGTTCAACACCTATCAAACAAAGGGAGAGATCCTGAGGCACCTTCGAAAGTTACGCCAGATCAATGACACCAAGATTGTGATTGGGTTGGGCCGGGACTTCCTGTCAAGCCATTATTTCACAGGAGCAGCGGGAAGTAGAGCCATTCAAGGAGTTCCTCAGATTGTGGTGGTCATCACTAGCAGTGGGATCACTGGCCCAGTGAAAGACAACTTGCTTGAGCTGAAGACACATGGCATTAATGTCTATGCCATTGGAATCGGATGCAAAGTCATGGGGGATTTTCTGGGGGTTACCGACAAAAAATACTGCGTACAGAACCTGAAAAACTTCTTTGATCTGCTTCGACCAAACCAAGACATAACTGCAAGCTTCATCAACTCTTTGTGTGGTACGGCGAAGCAGCACTGGCTCAATATTGTCCTTGAACCAGCAGGTAACAAAACCCATGGACTAGTATTCCTTCCAGCTGAGGAAATTTGATGGCTCTGTTTCAAACAGTGTGTATGCTGCCCCCTACAGGTCAAGGAAACGCCATGGTGGATAATCGCGTCACTTTGAAAAGAGGAAAATCCCTAATTGTCCAATGTCACTATGATGAGAAGTACAAAGATCATGTGAAATACTGGTGCAGGATGATATCGGAGAGTGCCTGCTTGGTCATTGTGCGCTCTGATGCTCCACAGAATTGGGGCAATGTGTCGATCAACGATCACCCTCACCAGCATCTATTCAATGTCATCATAAATAACCTGCAGACAATGGACTCTGCTATATACTTGTGTGGTGTGGAAACCAGTGACATGGAAACCTATATATATATAGCAGACTTGAACCTGACAGTCACTGCTGGTAAGACTCCTTCCATATGGGTCATTTGTATACTACAGGGCAGGACTGGACCCTCCCTCACTTGGATAAACTCATAAAAGGTGCAGCCCCCCTCCCCCATCCCAATTGACAAATTTTATCATAGTAATGTATGTTGGAGGGCCTGTATGGGATGTAATCCAGTCCAGTCCTGGAAGATTAGAAATCAGTTTTAATTCATTCAATAATTTATTATTATATTTCACAGAGAGATAAACCCAAAGGCATGTACTGGCTGCATGGTGAACAGATGAGTCACCAGACACACCACTGGGGGGACATTATTTTCTCGAACCCTTCACCAGAGGCATCAGAAATAGGGGGGGTGGGGGATGCTTCCCCCCCAATACTGACAGATTCTTCCCAAAAAATGAAAATAAATAGATATCTATTTTGAGCTGAATGATACTGGAAAAAAAACCCAAATTGCTATATTTTTGGGTTTTGCTATAATCGTTTATTATTCTGCCTTTTGCTATTTGACGCATTTCTGTCATTATACAGATGCAATAGATAAGAGGATTTAAGAGCACATTCCTTACGTTTTATTATGAATCCGTGCCTTACTGAGGCCAAATTGTTGCTCAAGCAGAGTGCAAGGCTGGTACTGTATATATACCTAACGAAGACTGTGGTCCTCTATCACACAAAATCTTTTTATCACATGGATTAGTTATTTTTTCGGTTATGTTTAGTTGTGACACTGCACCCTAAACAGTCTTAGTCTTATTTAAAATTATGAAATCTTTCTTATTCAGAAATAATTGTAAAACCTTTCTTACATCGCACACCTTCACGATGTAACTATTGCATGTGTGGTCATTGTGATGTTGCGATATACATCACACCCCCCCCCCCCCCCCCCCCCCTTCCCCCAAGGCAAATTCAGTCCCCCCCCCACCAGCGTCAATATCCTTCACACCACCTCTCTGCTCAGGTGTACCTGCTCTGTCAACGCACAACAACAACGCAGTGGTGGAGGTGGGGGGCAACGTGATCTTCAAGTGCTTGTACAGTGAGGAAAACGTTCGCGGAGAGAAGAAATGGTGCCGGAGAGGAGACTGGAGCTCTTGCCTGACTGAGACTGAGACGAGGGACATGTCGAGCCAGAATGGGGTGAAGCTGTACAACGACAAAAAATACCGCATTCTTACTGTGGTCATCAGGGGTGTGATGATGAACCACACGGGCTGGTACTGGTGCGCTGCTGGAAACCAGCACCTCCTTTACCAAATTAATGTGCTGCCTCAAAACACAAGTAAGCCAGCCTTTTCAGTACTTGTCGGAAACATGTTTCACTATCAAGTTGCATTCTGTAATAACTTTTGAATCTTTAATGCTAAATTTACACTATATGATGAAAAGTATGTGGACTCTAGCTTGTCTCACATCTCATCCCGGAACCAAGGGTATTAATATGATGTTGGTCCAGTATTTGTTGTTGTGTCAGTCTATCCTCTTCGGGGGAGGCTTTCCATCAGATTTCACAGCATTGCTGGTGGAATCTGCTGCCATTCACGTTGGGTGATGTTGGGCTATCAAATCCCTTTCTGTGAGCTTGTGTGCCCGACCAGATGTTTTGATCTTGCAATCACCTCACTTGCGGTAGACCACGGTACCCTAAGCTGGGCAGAAATACAGCAAACTGACTAGATGGAAGGAAGGTGTCCTATGATGGTGCCAAGGCTCTAACCTCTTCTGTACAACCACCCATTCTACTGCCAAATGATGACAAGAGACTGTGTGACTGTGTGCTTAATTAAATACTTAGCATGTGCGTGGGTTAGTTGCCCAGCTAATAGGGTGCCCACATATTTTTGGTCATATAGTGTATTACACGTAAGTATACTTCTTGAGGCCTTCCAATAACGAATGCTGCAGGACACGTTTCATTTTCCATAACTAATTCGGTATATTCGGTTCATCCTCAGCATTCACCACGACCCCAGAGATAGCTGCTGTACCTGAGGCGTTCACCGTTCTGCTGGACTTGGTGCAGAGGCGTGTACCACAAAAGTGAGCATGTTAGCTTTAATAAGGGTGCTGCTACAGAGGGATTGGGCTATAATGCTAGCAGGTAGGCCCCGGGATCGCCAGCTTTGTGGGGCTGATGGGCAGAAAAGGGGGGGGGGGGCAGTTCACATTCCCAGCATCTGTGCCATTGCCTGTTGGTAGCCCATAGCGCTCAGGGGTCTGCAGCCACAAAGGGCTACTACCTTAACCTTGATGCACCCATTGCTGCTGGCATCATGAATCTACCAACAGGTGTCATGCACCTGTGTATTTGCACAAAAATATGTTGTATGTGATGAACAGCTTATTATATGGCAGCAGTCATTTTTCATTCCCTTGGACAATATTGAGTACATTAAAAATGTATTTTTTTTACCAATATTCACTCAGTAGATCAATCTATTTCCCAATAGGCAAATTCTTCCTCTGCTGTTTTCGGCTGCAACTGTCCTGGTCTACTTGGTCTGTACCATTGTAGCAGTGACTAAGATCTGGGCATATTGCAGTAAGTCATCAGTACGACTTAATTTAAAACCATTCTGGAGCTTAAAAGAAGAACTTAAAGTGACAGTATACAGTTATGAAATTAATAATTTTCATATATGAAATGTATATTGTCTATATTGGATCATTTTAGAGCAAAAAAAGGATGAAGGACTATCTCTCACAACACAGAACAGTAATTAAGAATGAGTAAGTATTGCATCTCTGCTTCATTAATAACAATATAATGTTTTATAAAAAAAAATTTAACACACTCTCCCTCCCCCTATCCCACAGTGACAGCAAGACTGATGGTGATCCAGAGAAGACCATATGTAAAGTTAGTATCTGAATAAAAGCAGAATTACTAATGTAATGTATCACAACACACCCATGTAAAGCACTTTGGGGAGGCTCTGTTGTGAAAGACTCTATATAAAAATGAATTGAATTGAATTGAACTCAATTGAATTGAAAGAATGTAAAGAGCTTCTGTAGTGCTTTCCTGACATATCTGTTACTAAAGGCCATTTGTATTTAGTCCTGCCAGCTTCATACACCGGCTCATTCGATATGCGCTTTGATATATCAGGTTCAGACCTAAATGAGCACGGTAGCATTTTCTGGCTGCGCTGGACACTGTTAGACAAAGAATGCATCTTCCGGCAAGAAGCAGTGTCTATGCATCGGGCTTATCCAGTGCAGGCCCTAGGCCAGTGCGGCATTAGGCAGGGAGACATTGTGAGACCTTTGCAGGGCAGACATACAGTGTCAGCCTAAAGGGACTCTGTGTAGGATGGGCCACCAGTGACCGGAAGGTTGCTGATTGTAGCCCCAGGATGAGCAGAGGGGTTTAACCCAGGTTTTTTAACCCAATTGCTCCAAGGTCTGGCTAACCCTGCTTTACCAAAAAAAAGCTATTTCTTCTGTTTGATTGATAACAAAAAGATGATAGATTTAGGCTGAATACTGTATAGGGTATGATTCCACATGCATTTATTATATATTTTTTTAACATTCACTTATGAACTGCATTTAAGGGTAATATGTATGATGTAATGTGAAATAAATAGTGTATCCCTGCCTTGACTTAATGTAAATTTATAGCACTTCTGGGAAACATTAAAATATCTTGCAAATATACGTGAAATTTTTTTCACTAGGGGGTGAATTCCACTCACCACCACATGACTGTTACGGTTTAACCAATGCTACTACTGCTGATAATAATAATAATAATAATAATAATAATAATAATAATAATAATAATAATAATAATAATAATAACAGTAGTAGATGAACAGCTGAAAGATGGATAATAAATGTTTAATCCTATCTATATGTAACTGCATGTGTGGTCATCGCAATGTTGCAATACATAATGCACATGAGATGTATTAACTGTATAATATGTATAAAATTAAAGACATACCACAGTCCCTGCTGTCCCACACAGCACAGAAACAGAAATCAATATGCTTTCACCCATGCTTTCACATCATTCTACCCTTTTTTGGGCATTTGCAGACAAAGGCATCAACTGTTGCTAGGCAATGTCCCTGTTAAATAATTAAGGTGATGTTTCAAGGACCAGTACACTGGCTCCAGTCCTCAACGAGAAACGAAGTGAGAAGAATCATGGAGGTCGGTGTCGATAGTGGTAACAGCCGCGGTGACATGCAGCAATGCACACCCATAATCCACCATGGTTATTTCCAGCTTGTTCATTTTTGTTGACCACAGCACAGAAAAGAGCTGTTCTGTGCTTCATATTTTTTTCTTTTTTTGTTGCCTTTTCCTGTGGAAAGCTTGTGGCTGACTTTCATCTGACAGTTTTCTAGCTGATTAGGTTCCTTGAGCACTAACTGCATCAATGTGTTGCATCACCATGCCCCTGCTAAGAGTCTCATATGCTTGTGTGTGCCAGTCAAAGCCACTGACTTTCTCACCCCTCTGATCAAGTGATTGACGGGTCACAGCTAATGAGCTTGTGAAACAAAACAGCAGCAGTACAAACAGAAAAGCTAACAAGGAGGTCAATCAAGGGATGTCTGAAGCAGAGTTGTGAGATACAAGAGTGCTGCATTATAACGCTGGAATACCGTAGCAGTATAAAATATAGATTATCCCACAGAACTCAGAAGGAACAGCTCAGTGTTCAGCTATACAAATAGGCCGATTATTAAAGATCCATTAAAAAATATCTGCATCAGTCCTTTCTCTGTGTTTTACCGATCTGACATTTTAAATTCGCAACTGGTTACTGAGAAAGAAAAACACACAAGGAGACAAAGAGATGGGAGGAAAGACGGAGAGACGGACAGACAAATGATTCTGTACAGCTGTGGAGTTGCATGCAGGAACGTTGTAATGGTGACCTACGTAAGGTCTGTTATTGTGGGGCATGACGACGGAGGGATGATCCACATGGCAGGTCTCAAAAAACAGGGTTTTATTAAACAATACGGGACACAAAGCAAGAACCAGAGAACAAAGGAACCACATGGGATCAAGACAAGTAGGTAAAAATAAGAAGTAACTGATATTTCATAGTTATACTAAGACTGATGTGGACCAAGCAAAGACCAGGACAATAAAAACATGGGAACTAACACACAACAATAACCAATATGACTGACTGAGGAAACAAGGCAAGGACAAGTACATATATACACACACGGATAACAAGGGCAGGTGAGGTTAATTAGCAGATACAGGAAGGTTCAAACACCAAGGGAAACTAAAGCAAAGTGAACACAGTTCAACCTGTGAACACATAGAAATACACCAAATAACTAACATAAGTAAAACCAGAAATAAACAGTTAATTATGACATGGTTTATGTCGCCACGACAATAAATGGGGAGTGTGAATGACAACAACCCGCTCAGCCCATTAAGCTACGCAGCAGCGCTGGGAACAGGAAAACACACCGGGAGCCAAAGACACTGGGATGACCAGCTACCTCTGCTGGCCACCAGGGGAACTGACATAACAGAGGCTGATCCTGTTAGTAGAGAACTGACATGTTAAGGTAGCAGTTAATTAGAAACTAAGTGTTACTTATGTACTGATATCATGTTTGCTCATCATTAATGAATCATAATGGTCCATGTATTCCATGCAGATACCATATTTGATCATTTGATGGGGTTTAAGAAAGCAAAGTTTGCAAAAAACATACAAGCCATAAGTTGGCAGCCAACTGTTCTTGGTATCACCAAAAAAGTCAGGAAAAAAACGCACCAGATATAATGAATAAACTTTGTCGCTAACTAGATAGCTAATACAAACCGTAGTATTTGCAGCTAACTTTGTAGCTAACTAATGTTATTAGCTCATTGACACTTCTGCTGCTTGTCAACTTGACTGCTTGTTGTAACGCTTCCGGTGAAGTTTGCTTCTCGGCGAATGTGTCACCCAAGTAAAAAATAGCGGACACTTCTTTGTGGCATTTCGCAATACATCTTTATTTGATAAATGCAGTTCGATGACCATACAGCTCAGACAGCTCGCCTTCTCCAAATGCATACAGAGAGATGAGCAACAGAAGAAGACTGGACACCACATACTAAAGTCAGCCTTAATTGATTTTCTGGTAACTCTTTACTTGAGGGGGAACAAGTAACTTATAGTACTGACTCAGTTAATACTCAAGTCCTCGGGATCCCGGCTGACGAACCCCCAGGCAGACACACGGTCCAGTCCCACCCTCTGGAAATGGCCATCCAACTGCCGCAGCCAGGTGTTACGTGGGCGTCCCCTCGACCTGGTCCAGCCGCTTGGATCCCCAGCAATGAGGATCCTACGAGCCGGATCACCCTCAGGGAAACCCGCCATATGGCCGTAGTGCTGTAACTGACACTCGCTCACAATGCAGGTAATGTGCCTCATTCGGGACTCCTCTAGCAACCGCTCATTCGACACAAAGTCAAACCAGCGGTACCCAAGGATTCTCCAAAGAGACACAGTACCGAAAGAGTCCCATCTTTGTCTCAGGTCACTGGTTAGCGTCTATGTCTCACATCCATGCAGCAAGACAGGCAGCACCAGGACTCTAAAGACTTGGACCTGCGTCCTCTTGGAAAGATATCAGGGGCATCACACACCCCTTTCCAGCGACCTCATGACCCCCCATGCTCTTCCAATCCGTCTGCTGACTTCATAGGACGAGTCACCAGACACATGAATGTCGCTGCCGAGGTAAATCTCTGGACAAGGTCGACATTCTCCCCGCAGACAGACACACTACTGACGGCTGTGCCTAAGAAGTCATTAAATGCCTGGATCTTGGTCTTTATCCAGGACGACCGCAATCCCAGACACTCAGACTCCTCACTCGGCATTTCTTAAAAACATTTTCCTTCACTTTTTAGAAGAATACTCTTACCTCTTAATATGACCTATTCCCACGAGGTATAAACCTGCCACCTGTCAGGGACGGATTACGGACCGGGCCAGCGGGGCCGCTGCCCAGGGGCCCTTGGGGTGCAGGGGGCTCGTGGGGCCCCTAGCCCAAAACAATTTGCAACGCTTATCAACAATGTATTTTCGTTTGTCTATTTTAGAGGGCCTACATTGTTTGATCCTCTGCCTACAAGGGCCCCTGACCCTATAGGGCCTCGGATGGAAACATGGAGGGAGGGCGTTTGGCTGCCAAGGGCCCTTGAATTGTGGTGGTTGTGGTGGTGGTGCTGGGGGGGGGGGCCTCGCGAACGTTTTGCCCAGGGGCCCACACAACCCATAATCCGTCCCTGCCACCTGTGTAGGGTGAGAACGTTACACTGTCAACCGTTATGGGGGAAGGCAATCTGAAACTGTCTAGTGACAAGACTCCTTTCATGTAAAAGTACGTTTATTGAACCTCTTTCACTGAAATGAAAAAAGGTGTCAAACAACATCATAGGGTGCTATAAGGCTCCTCAGAGTGCTATGAGGAATGCCTAAGTATTAAAATCAAACCATTAAATGTTTTCATTTTAAACGGGGGGGGGGGTCAGATTGTTCAATCAGTTGGCAAGATGCATGCATGTGGACACCCATGCATAACATGGAGATGATTTTCCTTCTGCCTGAGAAAAGCTCTTAATCCATGATCCCACTTGTAGCAGTTTCAAATTAATATGCCTGAAATGGTATGCAGATAAAGTTCTGTAGGGTAATCTAATGCGTATTGCTACTTTTGCTTTTGCAAAATAGTACAGTTTCATTGTCACTATACTATTTTGCAAAAGTAAAGCAAAATAGCTTTTCAGATGGTATATTTTTAGCATTTGACAGAACTTCCTGCACCCTGTGGTAGCTGACTGTTGACGAGCTACTATCGAGAAGATCTCATACGTAAAAGTAGGTCTTTATTTCCTCTATTCCTGAGCCTGCACTGATAAAAACTGCTAAATTCTTGTAAAACGCAGAAACATCCTGTGTATGAGTCTAACTGAAAAAGTTTTGCAGTCCTTCTCCACCTCATTCTGTGTATGAATCATTATGAACGGACAAAAGACATTTAATCTAATTTAAAAAAAAAAAAAAAAACAGTGAGAAAAAAAAATGTGCATGAGAAGGGATTCATGTTAACATGCACTCTGAAAGACGCTTTGATACCTGACATCACCTGTGTCTCACTGCCAGCTTCTCAGTGCTGCTCTGCAGAAGATGCAATCACTGTCACATACGATAAATAACAGCATCAGAATTCCCTCCCCGAGGGCCTTTGCCTGTTGGTGGCTGCTGGGATCACTGCAGGAGAACCAGAGACCAGAGGGGGGGGGTCAGTACAGTATAGCATTTAAACAATGGGAGGAGCCATGCATGAATATGACAGGAGGGGGGAGGAGCCATGCATGTGTATGACAGGAGGGGGGAGGAGCCATGCAGGTGTATGACAGGAGGGGGGAGGAGCCATGCAGGTGTATGACAGGAGGGGGGAGGAGCCATGCAGGTGTCAGAACAGAATACACAGAAGAGGGTGAGCAGGTGGGCGGGGCCATCAGTGCCTGACACCTTATTATTGGGCAAGGTGCCGGACGGTGCTGACCCCACCCACATAGTCACCCAGGGTTCCATACAGGTTAATTTATTTCCACCCAGAGGAATCCAGTGCAGTCATTACCAGTATTTCAGTTGTTGTGCTGCTAACTTTGAATAGTGATAAAGGTTAAATAATGGCCAGCAAAATCGGAATGTTAATCCATATATCGCGCATCCCTACAAACTGCTTGTTCCGTCTTCATAAAGATTATATGTAATGCAAAATAATAAAGAGGGAGATATGTAGCTCGTCTGCTTTGTACAGTGATAAATAATTTGTGATTATTGTTCTGAAATGAAGCAATTGGAGGTTGAATAGAAGAGAAAAAAAGAGGCAGGAAGTTCCTCCCACTTGTCAACTACGATAAAAAACTTTTCCGCTGAAGAGAAATTCAGCCTGTCGAGGTGTGTAGCGAAATGGCAGAGTCTGGATTCATTCTGAGCAAGACCCAGTTCAGCTGTCCAATCTGTCTGGATCTACTGAAGGATCCAGTGACCATTAATTGTGGACATAGTTACTGTATGAGCTGCATTAAGGTCTTCTGGGATTACAAGGACCGCACTGGTGTTTACAGCTGCCCCCAGTGCAGAAAAACCTTCATACCCAGACCTGTTCTGGGCAGAAACATTGTGCTGGCTGACATGGTGGAGAAACTGAAAAAGACAGGACTGCAAGGCAGCTCTCCTTCTCAAAGTTATGCTGGACCTGGAGATGTGGAGTGTGACGTCTGCATTGGGAGAAAACGCAAAGCTGTCAAGTCCTGCCTGGTGTGTCTGTTTTCTTACTGCAGAGGTCATCTGCAGCTTCACGATGAGCTCAACCCAGGAAAGAAGCACAAGCTGATCGATGCCACTGGACATCTTCAGGACAAGGTCTGTCCCCATCACGATAAACTGCTGGAGGTCTACTGCCGTAGCGACCAGCAGTGTATCTGCGTGCTCTGCGTGATGGACAAACACAGAGGCCATGATACAGTCTCAGCTGCTGCAGGAAGGACTGAGAAGCAGGTATGAATAAGCGATAAATGGAAGCAAGGTAATCTGATATCAGATCACAATTAAAATTACAACGTCTTTATCACAAGACGTGCACTTAAAGGCATTTTGTTTCATGCCTGTTTCTGTGGCAGTTTAATTTCAACATTTTCTGTAGATCTGCTTTCCTATGGAGTGGAAAAAGAAAAGAAAGAGGGGAACAAAATGCATGGGAGTATATTTCAAGGCTTCTTTTTATGGTTTTAAATAATAGGACTGCCCAGTTTCTCTGTGTTGCTAGGCAATGTCTGGGATGTGAGCACTTCATGTTAGCAGCATTACCGAAGTCACTCTGGATAGCACAGTAAACAATGCCCACATTGCCCGACACATCCAGCAAAACAAATCCGCATGGATTTTTATACTATCTGAGGATGAGTCATAGATTAAAAACCCCTCTTGGGCAGTGCATGGCTCAGTGGGCTAAGCCTCTGTGGCAGTGATCAGAAGGTTTGTCAGTTGTCAGCCCAGCCGCAGCATATCTGTGGGTCCTTGAGCAAGGCCCTTAACCCCCAGCTCCCTGGGTGGCTGCCCTTCGTGGCCAGTTTGTACTCATCTACAGAGAGCAAGTTCGGGGAACTTCTTTGACCCCACAGGGATCAAAGAAGTATCTTTAAAAAAAAGAAGCAGACGTATTTGATCTCGTGCCTTTTACCCTTTTTTGTATCAATTGTATCAATCCATTTATTATAAAATATGTTGGTACCGCTGTTCTAGTTTTCTAGGAAATGTTGTGAAGAGACCATTTGTGTGTGTTCAGTCAAAAGCGATTAGGCATGCCTGCATCCTTATTTCCAAATCATTGCTGGACAGATGGTGCTTAAATACAGAACATGATGAAATACTGGCAAAACATAGTTTGACAGCTTTGATGGTAAAGAACAAAACCTATAAATCTCCCGCTTAAGATTCATCATGGCTGGAATCATGCAGCTGATGGACATAGCTATAACTGTTCAGGGTATATCTTACATGCGTGCGAAAATATCCCACATTTTGTATATGAAAACATTGCTGAATGGCTATTATGTTGTTATCCAGGACGTATTTTTGAAAACACTTTGAACCCCAATTGTTTTTAGCATCGCAGTTCCGCCTCCATTTCAGCCCCAGCTGACTCTGTTGGCAACATCTTTTTCCTCGGTGTATAAAACTCGGTTCACAGAATGGAGACCTGATCCCATGTGCCAACGGCCAAGTGAAGTTTACAGAAGCTGTAACTGCCGGCTTAGCCTAACCAATACTTCCTGTTGAGTCAAAATTAGCTACCATCTCTGCACACTACTGCGTGGGTGGATCTTTCAGAAGGCAAAAGCTAATATTGCAAAACAGCAGCCGCTATAACCAGTTTTCCTTTAGAGTTGCAGATTTTACAACATTTCATATTGGCGATTCTTTTGTTCGGCTTAGCGGGCTAGCTCGCTATGCTTATGAACGGAAGTTCGCTGGTTCAAATCCCAGGGTCGGCAGAATGATTTTGCCATTGTGCCCTTGAGCAAGGTCCTTAACCCCTGCTCCAGGGACTCTCTGACCCCATTTTCTCAGTAGTAGATGAATGTGATGAGACTCCTGTAGGTCAATAAGTAAAGCTCTGTGCTAAAAACACAATGGTTGTGGGTTTGAATCCCAAGAAGCACATATGAATTACAGTCTTTCCTTCTGTGGTATGTCATCTGAGATAAAAGTGTTAGATTAATATGTAAATGTCTACAGTATAGAACAGGTCATACTCCCAGAAAATTAAAGTCAGAAGAACAGATTAATCCGGCTCCTGTTAAGCTTTCACCTATCTGCTCTTGTACTCTATTAAACTGCTGTGAATTTGAGGGCTGGCAGCTCATCAGCACAATTGATCCAATAAATGAGTTTGACCTGAGACCTGAAAAGAGAAAGAAAAACCATCTCTGAGACTAAGGCAGACTGTCGTTAGTGAGCAGATCTGCCCTGTGATTCATGCACCACCTGGTCCCGGCTCTATAACGTGGCCATCCATCTCTATCATCAGAGCTAAAAGAGGCCAGAAGAAACAATTTGCTCAAAGTTCTGGAGAGGTGGGTCACCAAAATATTTACATGGCACTTAGCCTGCTGATACAGGTTGCTGCAGAATGTGTGTGTGTGTGTGTGTCCTTTGCTTTTTAGTTTTCTGCCAAAACATGTATTTCTTCAGCGGACTGTTTCCACCTGCTGGGATTATGGTGAACAAGAACCATAGATCGATATAACATTGTACAGGGGTCATCTCCGTGGCATATTCTGACAGACAGTATGACCAAACTGCAAATTTATGACAGACATGGTATTTAAAAAGTAACCTGCATAGTTTTTCCCACAAACATGTTTGTCCATGTACGGATAGGTTGACAATCTATCTTCTTCTATCTCCCATAGACTGAACTCCAGAACAAAATCCAGGAGAAAGAGAAAAGGATACAGACGCTGAGGCAGGTTGTGGATTCACTCAAGGTAAGTGTGGCAGCTGAGACAGGAACCCAAGTTAAGCTATTTCCTGTGCAGTGGAGCTCCAGCATACACCGCACTGGATCAGGTCACATGACGGGGTCGACAGTTCACATCTACATCCACATCTTTCACAGCGCTCTGCGCAAGCTGCAGTGGAGGATAGCGATAAGACCTTTGCCACCATGATGCGCTTCATTAAACGGAAGCGCTCAGAGGTGAAAGAGCTGATCCAAGATCAGGAGAAGGCTGCAGTCAGTCGGGCTGAAGGACTCCTCAAGCAGGTGGAGCAGGAGATTGTTGAGCTCAAGAGGAGAGACGCGAAGCTGGAGAGGTTCTCACACACGGAGGATCACATCCATTTTCTCCAGGTAAGGGCAATATTTCTGAGGCTCAACTCAATCGCCAACTATGGGACACTTCAAGATGCATCCGACTGAGTGTGTCTGACCTCACAATGTCAATGCTGAAATATTTTATAGAGCTTCCAATCCCTCTGTGAGTCCGTTGCTGGTGAAAGCTCGCCCAGCCTCCCTGTCTACCCACACTGTTCATTCAGGGATGTGAGGAATGCCATCTCTGACCTAAAAGAGCAGGTGACGGGGCTCCTGAAACTGAAAGTAACCAAGATCTCGCAAACAGGTCTGTGGAGAAAAAACGACTGAGACAGTTAAAGGAAAAAAAGAAAAACTTAGCATATATATATATATATATATATATAATTATGAAATTAGAGCTTTGGTGAACAAGCATGTAACCTGGACATAAATTATATTAATGTCTCTACAGTGAGAGACGTTGGCATCGTACACAGAAAGAGCGAAGAAAACTTTCTGCAAAGTGAGTATTAACATATCTGCATAGCTGAATTTCCAGGGAATCCCCCAAAGAAACTTTACTGTAATCAACGACAGCTAACTAAAAGCAACCAACCACAATGAGAATTTTTTTTTTGTTCGTAGAAATTTTCCATTAGATTTTGCATTACTGATGTGGCTTTATCCCCTCGAAAGTAATCTACATTTAACTGTTAAAAACTGGCTTGTCTGAGGAAGGTTGCTGGTTCAAATCCCCAACCAGCAAGGTACTCCCCCCCCTCCCACAAGCACTGCTCCCGAGGGTGTTAAATAGCTGCCCATTGCTATGTCATATATGGGTTAAATGCCGATGACATATTTCGTTGTCTTATGCTGTAGTGTGACAACGATGCCAATTCATTACCTTCACTTCATGTGCCTTTATTCAGAGGCATGGGGTAACCGGCTGCCTTTCTCTGCCCGATTCTAGCGAAACAGGAGGCAGTGCTGCACACGCCGGAGCCCGGGACGCGAGAGGAGTTTCTGCAATGTGCGTACATTTATGTGAACGCAGGCATGCCTGAAATGATGGCCGCATGCAACACTGCTTACGCACAAAAATAATGAGCAGACAGATAGTCCCTGATGATTAGATTTGCTGATCAGTTCTCACGATTGTAAAGGTGTGGGTGCAGAAAATCAGGGGGCGATTGGGAGAAAAGGTCAATCGGGAGGAAGGGTGGGAAATCGGGTGAAACTGGAGTGTTGACAGCTATAACAGTCTGCTTTAAAATTTTTGCATTTTTGGACAGTTGTTAATCAATAAATGGGCATGAAAAGGATTGGTCTAAAAGCTCTTGAAATCTTCTTTGTTTTTTCTCCTCCATCAGATTCCTGCCACCTCACCCTGGACCCCAACACCACGCATAATCACCTGCGTCTGTTAGACGGGAACCGCGTCGTGAAGTGGGTGGGGGCGGATCAGTCATACCCCGAGTGCGCGGACAGGTTTGACTTCTATCTGCAGGTGCTGTGCAGGGAGGGGCTGTCCGGACGTTGTTACTGGGAGGCAGAGTGGAGTGGGAACTGGGTTATTATTGCAGTGTCGTATAAAGAAATCAGCAGGAGAGGAGAAGGAAACAGAGCCTGCCTGGGGCGGAATGAAAAGTCCTGGAGTTTATACTGCTCTCCTTCCAAATACTTCTTCCGGCATAATAATGAGGAGATCCCAGTGTCCGGCCCCCCCTCCCCCAGGATAGGGGTGTACCTGAATCATGGCGCGGGAACTCTGTCCTTCTACAGTATCTCTGGCACAATGACCCTCCTGCACAGGGTCCAGACCACGTTCACGCAGTGTCTGCATCCCGCATTTTTCATTTATGGGGGCAGCAAGGTGCATTTGTGTTAAAAGCCATGAGAAAAGTGGCATGTGAGATCAAATTGCTGTAGAATTATGAATTTTATCATGTTTCTATATTATTTTAAGTAAAACCTACATTAGGTTAATATATTAATTTAGAGACACCAATACATCCAGTCTGCATAGTTTGACTGGTTTACTCTGACTTTTGCTGGATTGTTGATGTAGTTACAGTGTTACCAACTTTGGTCAGCTGGCTGGCATGAGATTTTCAATTCATTTACATGTATGTAACAGTTCTATCAACATTGTGCATAGCCTGTAGGGTTTGCAGACTTCCCCAACGCTTCTGATGTAGCCATTTGTAGCTTTACAATGGAAAAATATAGATTTGCCGTAAGGTCTCTCACTTGAGCGTTTGAGTCTGGAAGCGTGAGCGTCACGCCAGATGCGTGACAGCTGACAACCCTTTAGTTATTTAATGTATTTTTTTTTACTTTTCAGTAAAAAATGTTCTTGAGACACGGAGTAGGTGGGATTACTGTGTGCTGTCAGTCACTGTGCAGTTTGAATCAACAAGAAGCGAAGGGAACCCAGGCGTTAGTGAAAGCATGTGTTAGATACAGTATAGAAGGATTATATTCATTTCATAAATGCACGGTTAAATAGATTTTTTTCCCACTTTTTCTCTTTTGTTATAGAAAATAAAAATTAATCAGAAAAGTGTCTAAGGGTTATCCATTCATCTTATAAGCCGGTATTAATGTTGTGCAATTAATGTATTAATAAAAATAAAGATAAATAGTGGATATATTCTTTGATACAAGTCAAACAGTAGTGCTCAAAACTGCCTCTTACTTCCTTTGATCAAAGGCAATTCAGAGGCCTAGTGGAAATGACCCACAGGATGTGCTGAATTAGGAGGTAAATAAACACTTGTAGCTCTCACAAGCTGTCTGGTTGGCAGAGCGGCACAAACAGCACCAGTGTTGTACTGGGAGCCAAAAGCCTCATGAATCTGAATATGAATCAGGGCTGTATTATAAATGTACACTAATCCCACTCACACTTTACAGCAGAGGTGGGGAGCCTGATCCATAGGGGGCCGCTGTGGGTGCAGGTTTTTGGGATGGCCTCTCAATCGGCCAATAGCAGTGGGTCCCCAGGACTGAAGTTGAGAACCACAGTTTATTATTGGCTGACTGAGAGGTGTCATCCCAAACACCCGAACCCACAGCAGCCCTCCATGGATCACGCTCCCCAAGTACTGTCACCATGTACTTACTGTATTGTATTTCAAGCTTTTTATGTAATTCTGATCCTGGGAAAAGTAGCTGTACTGTACATACAGTCACTGTGGCACACTGCCATTACCCAACTAATTCCCAAAAGGTTTTTCAGAAAAATTCACGCACATCGGTGCCCCCTGGTGGACCTTGACCAAACTGACTTCTCAACCTCACAATTCATTCAGGCTCTGTATTGTAATTATTATTATCTCTTGGTTAGCTAACCCCTGAGTCTGTATCAATTTGCATTTTTAATTACTTACAGCTAACTTTGACTGAGATGTTACAGGTTTATGAACCTCAGAAGGCTAATGTAAAAAACTGCTGGAATTAATTAATTATATGTCAGATTATTCAAACATCCATTCATCCATTTTCCAAACCGCTTATCCTTCTGGGTCATGGGGGTCCGGAGTCTATCCCAGAAGCTATGGGCATGAGGCGGGGAACACCCCAGGACGGGGGGCCAGCCCATCGCAGAGCACACACACACACACACACACACACACCATTCACTCACAAAAGCACACCTATGGGCAATTTCAGTAACCCCAATTAGCCTCAGCATGTTTTTGGACTGTGGGGGGAACTCAAAGTTATTCAAACATCTATATGATTTTTATTGCATATTTAATTTTCAAATATTAGATATTATTCAGATTTTTTTAACTTGGCACTGAAAAAAAATGCATTTTTTTAATACATAAAAGACATTTATTGTAAAATGATTGCATCCATCAATCCTCTGCATCTCCTGGTCGGGTCACCTGGAGATTCTCCCAGACAGCATAGGATATAGGGTGTAAGCCTTTCATTTACCGCACGCAAAAACACACAAACTGTGCAGTCAGATTGGAAGCTGAGAAGAGATAAACGTTACATACACATGATGGAGCAAAGTCCACCCCTTGAGACGTGTGCTGCTATCAGCCGAACCCAAAAGATCACACCTCCCAAAGAGGAATCAGGAAATCCCTCCCATTCTTACACACAAAACCTGTCCCACTTTTCCTGTAATGTGGGTCTCTGAAACTTAACCATTGTTTGCAAGACACAGAGAAAACACTGAAACACTTCACTAGGTAATAAGTATAAGGCAAGGGCAAGCTGGCAAAAGCGACTGTGTGCAAACTGGTTTATGATCTTGGGTCATATTTCTGCCTCTGCTGGTTCTCCTCGTCACCCCTGGGCCTCACTGTAAAACCACACCCACTGCAGCTCCAAACCAGGAAGTCACTCCCACTCACACGCACACACAGCAACTTCTAGAAAAAAAAGTAAACTGAACTCTCGCCCTGTGCAGCAAGATGGCTGACACAGGAAATTTCTTAAATAAAGTCCAGTTCAGCTGCCCGATTTGTCTGGATTTACTGAAAGATCCCGTGACTATACCCTGTGGACACAGTTACTGTATGAGCTGCATTAAGAGCTGCTGGGATAAGGAGGATCTTCTTGGTGTTTACAGCTGCCCCCAGTGCAGGCAGATCTTTAAACTAAGGCCTGATTTGAACAAAAGCACCGTTCTGGCTGAAGTGGTGGAGAAACTGAAGAAAACTGGATTGCATGCAACTACTCCTGCTGACCATCATGCCGGACCTGGAGATGTGCAGTGTGACGTCTGCACTGGGAGAAAACACAAAGCTGTCAAGTCCTGCCTGGTGTGTCTGGCCTCTTACTGTGAAACTCACCTCCAGCCTCACTATGAGTCTCCAGCTTTTAAGAAGCACAAGCTGACTGATGCCACTGGACGTCTGCAGGACAAGGTCTGTTCCCACCATGACAGACCGCTGGAGGTCTACTGCCGTACCGACCAGCAGTGTATCTGTCTGCTGTGTGTGATGGATGAACACAGAGGCCATGATACAGTCTCAGCTGCCGCAGGAAGGACCGAGAAGCAGGTAAAACATGGGAGATACAGGGCAGTTCTGCGGTCTTGTAGAAGTTCACAGTCGTATGAATATTTTGAATACCGCGTGTATTTTTTTAATGATTCATTTCTTTAATGTACATTCTCAGATGATGCAGAACCCCGTTGGCCTCTATGTTATTTTTTAGATATATAGGACATTTCTACTGAGAACCTCATGACCTTCTGCATCTGTAGCTTTCTAAGTAAAGTGAAAGTGCTGTTAGATCCACAACGGTTCCAACAGGATCATTTGGTTGCACCATAGGCTATTTCTGGTGTGAACCTGTAAACATAGGTGGCTTCCTTTTTTCCCGCAGAAGCAACAGGAGATCGCACAGAAGGAATTCCAGAAATGGATCCAGGAGAGAGAGAAGGAGCTACAGGAGATGAAGAAAGCTGTGCATGCACTGTCAGTGAGTATGAAGCTGTGAAGAAGGCCACGTCTGGAAGAGACATTTCAGGACTATATTCCAGTCATAGGCTTATGCCCCATTTCTAAAATCCTTGGGCCACATTCAGCCAATTCATCCATATGCTCAATCTCCCTGCTCCTGACAGCTCTCTGCCCAATCAGCAGTGGAGGACAGCGAGAGGATCTTCACTGAGATGATCCGCACCATTGAGAGAAGACGCTCTGAGGTGACAGAGCTGATCAGAGATCAGGAGAAGGCTGCAGTGAGTCAGGCTGAAGGACACATGGAGAGACTGGAGCAGGAGATTGATGAGCTGAAGAGGAGACACTCTGAGCTGGAGCAGCTTTCACACACAGAGGATCACATCCATTTCCTGCAGGTCACACTTCTGGTTCTTTTCAGCACGTAATTGCACTATTTTGTCCTCAGTCAGTTGTCAGAAGCATTGATAACACTCCTGCTGTTCATTTTCATAGGTGTTAATGGTGGCTAACGCTATTGTCTTTAAATGTCTGTTTATCTGTCTGTGCTTCTCCCTGCAGGGTTGCCAGATCCTCTGCGTCCCCCTTGCATCTGTCCCCCTCCCCAGCATCCCCCTCGTCCCACCTGGCTCGTTTGAGAATGTGAAGAAAGCTCTTTTTGACTTAAAAGCACAACTGGAGAGAAGCTGTAAGGACACATTAACTGGGATCTCCCAAGCAGGTTGGAAATATGTGCATGTCTTCTGTTTTTCATGATTCATGTGTCTTAAAAAAAAGTAATTTATGCAATGTTAGAATTACAACGAAAATAATAGCAACAGAGATTTAATGTTACAATTACTACCTGTCAAATTGTGTTACAAGTAAGATATAGCTAAGAATTGTCCATTGCCTGTATACGTCCACATGTCTCTTTTCTCTCTGTGCAGTGAAAGATGTCTGTGTCCTAAAGGCTAAAAAATGCACTTCATGTGAGTATGTCTGCTCTGAATGCCAGCTCTTTAAAAAATAACATGGGAACATGTGTAGAGTAACATATGATACTATCCATCCATTCATCCATCTGCTATTTAGTAGAATGACATGATAAAAGACTGTGATGGTGGTGATGATGATAATAATACATGTCCTTGTGCAAATTAATTGAAACATGTCACACAGACAGGTGTGCAGTGTCCTTGGACTGGCTGGTTTGCACAGCCAACAGGGCAAAAAGTATGCTGAGTGGATGGACAGAGGAGGCACTGTACCCACAGACTGGCAGGCCTGCTCGGGTGGGGTTA